GTCGGAAAGCCGACACGACGATAATCCTTTTCTAACGCCGCCACAACGCAAATCCTCTTGTAAGGCCACCGTTTAAGGAAAGCGTGTTGTGAGGCCGCCACGCAAAGTTCTGTTAGAAAGCCATCACACAAAGAGTCCTTTTGTAAACCAACCACGCAAGGACATCTTTTTGTACGGCCTCTAGAAATGTAGTCTTTTTGACAAAGGCCGCCACAAACACATTGTATTGCGAAGTCACAGAACAACAAGGAACTCGCTGAATAGGGCCGCCATAGCACAACATCTTTGTAATGCCGCTGGACAGACAACCCTGTCCCAAGACCACAACAGGACATCCTTTGTAAGGTCACCACAAAAGGAATCTGATGCAAGAGCGCCACAACGCGACATCTTTTGTAAGCCGTCGCAAATCGTGCTGTCAGGTCGCCACGAGAGGAATCATTGTGCAAGGCCGCCACAAGCGGAAAGTGGAATTATCTTGAAAAGCCGCCGCGTACGTCATGACGGTGTAGCTCACCCCATTCGTTTTGACTCGTGTGTTCCTGTGGGTCGTGCTCCAGCGCGCCCTACGTTTGTTAATTCATCTCTCCTTCTTCTCCCTCATTGTCGTAGCCCTCATATTCCTCCTCCTCCTCCTTCTCTCTATGCTCCTCGTGGTATCCTCCCACCCCGTTTTCTCCCTCCTGTCATTTGTCGACCGTCATCTTCTTCCACCTCCTCCTCATCCTCCTGCCTCCTCCTGCCCACATTGATCATCGCCGCCATCATCGTCATCCTCGTCTTCCCCACCCCTTTCCATTATCCTCATTTGGGCTCTCCTTCTCCCTCACCCCCGAGGAAACAAACATACGCATGGTGGCTCCGAGGACGGGTGATGATAATACGGAATATGATGATGATCGTGAAGCAGTAAGTGGGTTGTACTCGTCACCGCCAACTCCCTCGCCTCCATCTGATCTGTCGTCGTTGTCCTCCTCCTCAGGCGTGCTGATGATGGGGTGGGTGGAGAAGGATTGATGAGGATGCAGGTGGAGGGAATCTCCTCCTCCTCCACCGCCTCCTCCGGCTCGGTCACACAACTACTGGATATCAGCACCTTTTCCGAACAGGATCTATTATGCCGATGGCGGATGGATGTTGTAGTGATGGGGATGTGCTGCAGGAGGAAGATGGCTTGCATGCGCGTGGGCACCTTGTTGGCGTCGGCGTGTCCCACGCGTCTCATACAGCTTGCCGCGTGACACTACTTGACTGCACATCATGGCTTGCAACAGACTAACGCACCGCTGGTAGCCATCTTGCCTGCGCTAGTCGCAAGTTCCAGGGCACTTCGACAATATCCCCGTGGGGAGGAGGGAGGAGGGAGGAGGAGGGAGGAGGAGGGAGGAGGGAGGAGGGAGCAGGGAGGAGGGAGGAAGGAGGAGGGAGGAGGGGGGAGGGGGGAGGCGGGAGGGAGGAGGGAGGAGGGAGGAGGCAGGGGGGAGGGGGGAGGGGGGAGGGGCAAGCTAGGTGCGCTCGCGTCATATCTGACGTCCTACCCCTCCCTCCCATCCCTTACCATGGCGCTGATTTTCTCTATCCGCGGACGCGTGTCGTAGCGGACTTGTGGCTCCGCGCGCGCGTGCGTAGTGGGTGGTGGTGCGCGTGCGTGCGTGCGTGCGTGTGTGGGTGGTGGTGGTGGTGGTGGTGGTGGTGGTGGTGGTGGTGGTTGTGGTGGTGGTGTGGTGGTGTGGTGGTGGTGTGGTGTGGTGGGTGTTGGTGGTGCGGCTGTGGTGGCGGGCGGATGGGGCGCGCGAGAAAGAGGCCCGCGCTGGGGCGAGAACGCCATCCTGAACGACGGAGGCCAAACACCGATCCGAAAATGAGGCCCACGCTGCAGCGGGAGCACGATTCGAAACGATTCGGGAGCAGAAATGAGGCCGGCGCCTCAGCGAGAGCAGCATTTTGAAAAAAAACACAAGCGAAAACCCGTTTACCGGGAATCCTGTGTGTAAAAAAAACGAATACGCGGGGGGGGGGTCGGATATCTTCGGGACGCCATCAGGGGAAGTGGGAGAGTATTTTCATATTGTGTAATTGTGGAGGGGGGAGGGGGGAGGGGGGATGGGGGCGGGAGGAGGGGGTAGGGAGGAGGGAGAAGGGAGATGGGCACGAGCCAGGTTGGCTCGCGCCATATCTGACATCCTGCCCCTCCCCCTCCATCCCTCCCAACTGCGCCGATGCTTCCTCTGTCTGCCGACGCGTGTCGTAGCGGACCTGGACTTCCAAAAAGGGCCCCCTCGTGCTCTGCGCAATCGGAGACATGGAACTGCGTACACTGAAGGTGGCGCATGCGCAAGAGAGTTTGAGTATCGTTTAACCGATCCCCATCCCCAGCGGCGTGGTCTGAGCCCCGCTGGCCGAATTACCCCCCCAGATGGGGATATAGGCCGTTCTCTTCGGGTTTCGAGGAATGCATCCCCAACTGGGGTGGTCATTTGGTGGGGGTCTTGAGGGGGATGGAGATGGGGATGGGGATCGGTGAAACGATACCGAGAATTGGCAGGTGGACAAGGCATCGGACGAGGACGCGGCAGGACGAGGACGGAACAGCAGGCAGCAGCAGCAGGAGCTGGAGTGTGAGGGGAGCGGGAGGAGCAGGAGGGCCAGGCAAGGCGGAGGAGGCGAGGTGAGGAGGAAGGAGGAGGAGGGAGGAGGGAGGTGTGAGGAGGAGGAGGGAGGAGGAGGAGGAGGAGGAGGAGGGAGGAGGAGGAGGAGGAGGAGGGAGGAGGAGGAGGAGGAGGAGGAGGAGGAGGAGGAGGAGGAGGAGGAGGAGGAGGAGGAGGAGGAGGAGGAGGAGGAGGAGGAGGAGGAGGAGGAGGAGGCCCCTGCATCCTCGTCGCGCGTCCTCCCTGTGCGGGTGGACTGCAGGGCAGCACTGGCTCCCGCGGGGGGGAGGGAGGGGGAGGCAGGAGGGGAGGGGAGGAGGAAGGCCTCGTATCCCGAACACTGCCCCACGCTGGGGCGAGAAGGCCATTCCGAATGACGGGGGCCCAGCGCCGATCCTGAAATGAGGCCCACGCTGCAGCGGCAGCACCGTTCTCAAGGACCGGAAGCGACCAGATTGCCAACCAAAGTGTAGAACACAACATCTTCTGAACTCCCACGTGGGAACACTACAGGCGGAAAGGGCGGGACACGCCCTGGCCATCTTCGTGGGAGGGAAGAGAATGGTATTCATGCAGAACTATTCTAGAGGGGTTCAGCCTTATGCGGGTGCAACAGTTGTGTTGGTTCGCGGTGTTGAAGTCCCCAACATGGCGTTTTGGCACGATTCCGGATCGCTCGGGCGCAGTAGTCAGATTGATCCGTGGCGTGGAAATCCCGAGAACAATATTTTGGCATGCTCCAAGGTCTTCAAAAAGTTGTCTTCCAACGAGGCAGTTCACCCAATGGTAATGAACCGTTATAGGGGCCTGTGAAGAGGGAGCTTGGAGGGTGGGTGAATTCCAACATCGTTGATGACTCTTGGGTTTACACTGGTCCTCCTCCTCCTTCTCGTTCTCGTCCTTGCCCTCATCGTATTCCTTTCCCCTTTCCTCCTCTTCTTCGTCGTCGTGGTGGTCGTCGTCTTCGTCTTCTTCTTCCTCCTCCTCATCCTCCTTCTCCTCTTCCTCCTCCCCCGTCGCTCCCCCCCTCCCGCCACGCGAGCCCCAGGGATGGCCCGAAGCCCTCCAAAGCCACCCCCTTGCTCCAGAGATCTCTCTGTTCACCCTGGTGGCCCGCTGTGTTTCGTTTTTTTGATTGTTTTCTCTCTCTCTCTCTCTCCTCCTCTCGCTCTCCCCCCCCCCCCCCTCTCTCTCTCTCTTTCCCAACCATCCTGTGGTGTTGGGTCCTCGTTTTGAAGAGACGGTCCACGCGTTCTCCTCCTCCTCCCTCCTCCCCCTCCCCCCTCCTCCTCCCTCCCTGCGTCTCACCCACCCAGTACAACGTTTCGTGGCACTATAGGGAGCCCCACCGAAGCCCCCAGTGCCACCGTCCGCATGCTCCCCGTTACAAACAATTTTGCACTTCCACCCGCCCAGTACAACGCCTCGTGACCTCAGTGGGGGCTCCACCGAATCCCCCAATGCAACCGCCCGCATGCGTCCCGAAACGCCCTCCACCGACGGCCCGAGTGCCACCGCCCGCATGCATTTCCCCACCCAGTGCAGCGCTTCGTGGCCCCATATGGAGTTTCACCGAAGAAGACATTCACAATTGCGGCACCCACAACTACACATGGTTGGGTCCTTCGTCAAATTATGTATCTCTCGCTCTCATGGGCCGTGTATCTAAATATGCGGGTCGGGGTACGCGGAGCGCGAAGACGTTGCAACACTTTGAAGGGTCCGTATGGACGAATGCCCAGGAGTTGTGTTCTGGCACGATCTAGGATTGCCAAGGCGCAACAATCACATTGCTTTGCGGTGTGGAAGTCCCAGGAATGCCGTTCTGAGGCAATTTAGGACTTCCAGGACGCAGCAATCACATTGATCCGCGACGCTGCAATCCTAGGAATGGACGGATGCCTTCCAATGGGTTACTTTCTGCAATTGCATCGCATTCTTGTCGTGACCAGTGAAGAGGGAACTTGGAGACAGGGGTTAGGGCAACATGGTTGATGCATTTTGGGTGTACATTGGTCCTCCTCCTCCTCCTCCTCCTCCTCCTCCTCCCCATCCCTGTCGACATAGCAAGCCTTGCTCGCCAAACAAAACTCATGCCCTCCACCTCCCCATCCCGCTCCTCATCGGCGTCATCGCTGACGTGCGTGTGCCGCTGTTTTCATGTGTGCACTTGCTACTCCCATCGCCAACAACCCTCCGCATGCTCCATTGTGACGGGCTTGCAACAATTCGCAGACGGCACCGCGAGAATGTGGCTGCGATCCGTAGCCGTGCGGCAACAACTTTCCATCCCCCTCCACCTCCCCATCCTGCTCCTCATCGGCGTCATCGCTGCCGTGCGCGTGCCGCTGTTTTCATGTGTGCACAGGCTACTCCCATCGCCAGCAACCCTCCGCATGCTCCATCGCGACGGGCTTGCAGCAATTCGCAGACGGCGCCGCACGCGCGCTGCCCCCTGACGGCGTGGCTGCGACTGGTATAGCAGTTAAAGACGGCCCTACAGAGCATCGTGCTGACGTGCACGGAGCCCACGGCAAGGTACAGGACCCTGGACTCAACATGGCCACGCTTCCACTGGTAGCCAGGCGTCCAAAGGACATGATCTGTAGACGTCCCCCGAACTCGTTGGCCATCCGTCGCGCCACCCCGGGCAAGCCTCGTTGTCATGCCCAAGCAGCGCCGACCAGCCATAGGCCCGCCGCACCACCTCCACGGCAAGCTGCTCGGTCGGCGTGGGCCTGGACTGTGGGACGCCCAGGGGTGCGAAGTCGAGCGCACTTGTTCTGCAGGCGCGAGGGGAGACATCAACGCCTCTGCGGTTGAGGAGCACAACCGCGTTCCTGCAGCGTCCGTCTCATATGCATGCCTTTTCCTTGGCGCGCCAACGACAAGAACGAATATGCTATGACCTGAGTCCACCGCCCCCCCAATCTGGGGTGCCAGGCTGCGACGGTGTCTGCTTGGCTGCCGTCTTATTAAGGCTTCGGTCTGCGGTGCCAGCAGCTCGCACCACATAGTTTGCACAACATAACCCCAACGCCCTTACATCACAAAACTTACACCGTATAACTATAGCTTTCACCTCACCTCACACCGCATTGCTTACATCTCCGGCTCACACTACATAGCTTACACCGCATAGCTTGCACCACACACCTTGCACCGCATGAACTTCCACCCCCACAATGCAATAATTCACAGTTTGTGGTCCACGACGGCTAAGACTTTTTGTCAGACCACCGTAATCACCGCGATGCAGCTGACATCGCATTTTGGTCTGCTATGTGGCTAGGTGGGGTGAGGTGGGGGGTCGCCAAGGTGTGCATCACGAGCTCGTTCGCGCCCAACAACTACACGCAAACAACAAGACGGAAAGAAACAAACACACCACGTACGGAATCGGAAACCGCACATCTCCTCTTGTGGAGGTCGGCTGACTGGCATAGGCCTATAGAGCAATGAAGCAATTGTTTTCACATGTTTTTCACAACCTTCCTGTGGTGTTGGGTCCTCGTTTTGACGAGACAGCGCCCCGCGTTCCTTCCCTCCTTCCTTCCTTCCTTCCTTCCTTCCTCCTCCCGCTCATCCCTCCTCCCATCCCTTGCCTCTGCATTCCGCATGTCTTCATCGACGTCTCCCCCCACCCAGCACGGCGTTGCGTGGCCCCATGGGGAGCTCCACCTAAGGCCCCAGTGGCGGTGTCAACATGCGTCTCCCCCACCCAGCACAGCGTTTCGTGGCCCCCTTGGGTCCACCTAATGCCCCAGTGGCGGTGTCCACGTGCGTCTCCCCCCCCCAGCACAGCGTTTCGTGGCCCCATGGGGAGCTCCATCTAGGGCCCCAGTGGCGGTGTCCACGTGCGTCTCCCCCCCCCGGCACGGCGCGTCGTGGCCCTATAGGGAGCTCCACCTAATGCCCCAGTGCTCCTAAGGCCCGAGTGGCGGTGTCCACATGCATCTCCCCCACCCAGCACAACGTTTCGTGGCCCCAAAGGGAGCTCCACCTGAGGCCCCAGTGGCGGTGTCCACGTGCATCTCCCCCACCCAGCACGGCGCGTCGTGACCCCATAGGGAGATCCATCTAATGCCCCAGTGGCGGTGTCCACATGCGTCTCCCCCATCCAGCACGGCGTTGCGTGGCCCCATGGGGAGCTCCACCTAAGGCCCCAGTGGCGGTGTCCACATGCGTCTCCCCCACCCAGCACAACTTTCGTGGCCCCACTGTGAGCTCCACCTGAGGCCCCAGTGGCGGTGTCCCCATGCGTCTCCCCCACCCAGCACTGCGCGTCGTGGCCCCAAAGGGAGCTCCACCTGAGGCCCCAGTTGCGGTGTCCACATACGTCTCCCCCACCCAGCACAGCGTTTCGTGGCCCCACAGGTGGTTCCAACTAAGGCTCCAGTGGCGGTGTTAACGTGCGGCTCCCCCTCCCAGCACAGCGTTTCGTTTCGTGGCCCCATAGGGAACTCCACCGAAGGCCCCAGTGGCAAAGTTCGCATGCGTCCCCCCCGCCCAGTATAGCATTCCGTGGCCCATCGTATGCGATACCGAAGACGATACCCACAACGATGGTACTCACAACTGCATCTGGTTGGGTCCTTCGCCAGGCTAATTTTACGCTTCATTCATCATCAAGACAATTATCAAGTGCGAGATCTGGGCCAACTTCCCGAACATGTCTCAAAAGAAGCCTGGGCCAAGCTCTGTTGCTACCGCTGGATTGGCGAACGCGCTCCAGAAGCTCGGCCAGCCTTTCTGGCAAGGCCGGTCAAGAAGCGTCCGATCGCTTCGAGGTGCATCCGAAGGGGCCGAAGAGGCCTCTGGGGGGCCCCGCAGACAACCCGAGATGTCCAGAGCACCGCTCCAGACTGCCGATGAGGCTCCCGGCGGGCCTCCCAGGCGGCCCCCCAACTGGCTCCACACGGCCGCATGTCGCCCCATCACGGCCCCAAGACCCGCCCACGCGACCCCAAGAGACCCTCCAAGACAACCCCGATGCCGTCGAAGGCACGCCAACAAGACACCAAGGAGGCCCCACGGAGGCCGCAGGGAGAGCTCCAAGCGAACTCCAGCAGAGGAAAGAGAACTATGCACATACACCGATTCCGGCCAGGCCCGTCCTGAGCCCAGGACCAGTGCATACGTCCTCCTACCGTGGCCAGGACAGCATATGCACCGATCCTGGGTCAAGGATGGGCGTTGCCAGGATCGGTGCACGTGCATAATTCTCTTCGCCCGATCCAGACAGACCCTGCACGGCGGCCCCACGCCATACCGCCCGACATGCACTGGATGGGAGTCTTGCGTGCCAATTCCCGCTCGAGATGCTCCTGCTTTGTCCTTCTCTTCCGCCTCTTGCTCCTCCTCCTCCTCCTCCTCGCTCTTCGTCCTTCCTCCTCCTGGCCCTGTCCTCCTGGGGGGCCGGCGGAACGGCGCAGGCCTCCTGAGCAACTGCTGGATCCGAGTTTCACGCCGTGCGCGACGCTGGGGCATATGGACCAGGGAGACGAGGAGGAGGAGGAGGAGGAGGAGGCGGAGGAGGAGGAGGAAGAGGAGGAGGAGGAGGAGGAAGAGGAGGAGGCGGAGGAGGAGAAGGAGGAGGAGGAGGAAGAGGAGGAGGAGGGGGAGGAGGAGGAGGAGGAGGAGGATGTGGGTGGCGGCTCTCCGAAAATCGGGGCAGGCCTGGAGGCCGCGCGGCCTGCGCCGTCGCGACACGGGGCCGAAAACCGTGGGTGGGCCGACCCCCTGGCGAGGGAGCAGCACGCATGCCTGCGGGTGGCCCACAAGGGGGTCCAGCTGAAAGGGGGTGGAGCATTAGTTTGGAGTCCCGAAACGGTGCGGTGACAAACCGTGCGGTGACCTCGGAACCCCAAGAGACCTCACCGCACGTTCCGTCACCGCACGGTCTTCCGAGACGTCCTCGGAGAGGGACTCGAGTTCCAAAACCGGGGGCGGTGACCCCGAATCCCCACCGACTCACGCACGGTGTGGTCACCACTCCGTTTAGGGGGCCCCCGAAATATATTTCGGGCAATTGCATTGCAAATGTATTGCGCCAGAGAATTTTGTTGCATTGTATTGCAAGTAATGTATAGCATGCGAGAATCCAGCAATACATTTGCGCCCCAGAATGTATTGCACGCCCCACATGTATTGAAAAACCAACAAATCTATTGCACCAATCCCACTGCACCACCCCCTTGTCGCTGGACCCCATTTTGGGTCAACCCGAATGCTGTGGCAGTCAGCGCTCTCGCCGACGCCTCTCATCGAATGGCCCAGAACTAGCGTTAGGTCGGGCGTGTCCTCCTGCAGGCGGATTTTGGACGAAAAAAAGAAAGGTGGTCAAACAGACCCAGAAAGAGTCAAAAATGGTAGCAGAATCGTCCCGAAACGGTTTTTTGACTAGTTCTGGTTACTCCTCCTGTAGAGGGACATGCCCAACTCAAAACTAGGGGAACGAACGATGACATCAGCATAATTACACGCCGGTCGGAAGACGTAGGAAAAAACATTAAGTAGGAAGGCGGATAAAGTGGATTGGGTCCAGACCCCCCCAGAGAACAACAACACACAGCAAAAGCGTGTCGATTCTTGAAGTAGGAAGGCGCCTGAAGTATATTGGAATCTGGGAATCCCAAAATACCTACTTTCAACGACCGGCGTGTAGCCGGAGGTCCGCGAGGATTTCTCGGATCGTTGCTGTGTGGCCCCCCGGCGGCGTCTCCGGCGCCGCCCCTGGCGCGCTCCGCGCGCCAGTGAGGGGGGCCTAGCATTATGTTGTTCCCGTCCTACTTGAAGACCGCATCCCAGAAATAATTTCGAGCACCCAGAAAAGTGTCAAAAGAGTGTCGAAACAGTATCGAAACAGTGTCTCCCAGGGCCGGGCACGTGAAAACCCTTGACTTTCGGTACTTTTTGGGGCGCTCGAAATTCTTCCTGGTGATCAAGTCTCAAGTAGGTTGGAGCATCATAAGCCTAGCACGGATCCGAGAAATCCGCGCGGACCTCCGAATTTTATGTTCATGTCGTTTTCCGTTCCCCTAAGAGCGGTCTGGTGAATGGCTTTGGGATCTGGGCTGCTCTCTGGAGGGGTTTCCAACCATCCAGCGGCGTTCGAGATTCTTCGGTGATCGGACCACCTGCCGTCACCAGACTGGTTCGGGACCCCTGCCCTGGGCAGAACAAACAATTGACGCTGGACCGCACCGGTCCTGGCCCTGGTTGAACCTTATCGCGTGGAGCACAAGCTCGACCAGAGATCCCGTGGACGCCACACCCTAATCATGACATCGAATCTCAGGGGATGCACGGCATGGAACGGCAAAGGTTCAGACAAGTCGGCCATGGTCATGATGACCATGCCACTCGTGAATGACCACAATGGCCAACCTGTCTGAACCCCTGCCGGGGCCCGCGCTTAAATCTTCAAGTGCAGTGTCGGCAGCATGCAGCTAGAATGCCAATGTCGGCAACCTGGTCATATCAATATTGGCCATGCAGCTTGTATGGCCTGCAAACTTTGCACAGTCTTCGAGTCGACGAGGGCAATTGCACGATGATCGGCGTTGCGGGTGCTCCCCGCAACACGCGACAGAAGCAGTCCGTGTGCCCATGTAAAAAGTAAAAGTATAAATGCTGGTGCCAAGGGCAACTATCGAGTAGTCATTTTTTGAGCCCTGTTGGATTTTAAACATGCACTCCGAGGCCAAGGGAGGGCATCAACGTTGGCTCATGTGTCTCACCGCCCCTTCTTCTACAGCCACCGTCGTTGTGGAAAGACCGTCGCAACGCGTCTTCTGGGCCGTGGCCTGTTGATGCCCTCTGACTAAACATCGCTTGGCACGGGTGATCCTTCCGCCTTATAAAGTGGGGTCACCATTCGCGGGGGTGCCGACAGATGGCACCGCCGCTCTTGATGCGGCCACCACATCGCAACGGTGGGATAACAACCCCTGGAGATCACCGGCAGAACGGCGCCGCAGACGGCGATGGAGCGGAGCATTGATGGGGGAGTGGAGGGCGGGGCAGAGGGCCTGAGCCCCTCGTGGATCACTTGCTGATGCATCTGCTGTCCGAAATGACCGGAGCCGCGCGGGAGCAGGCGCTGCTCACGCCGCCGCAGCGCAGGGAGGCGTGCCCGTCTGAGGCGTCGCCGACGCGGCCTCCTGCGGCACGGCCACGGCGGCCACGGGCTCCTGGCCGCCCGGGTGGCAAAACATGGCCCTGCGCAGCGCCTGCTCGGTGACCTCCAGGGCCCGCTGCCGCTCCGGGCCCGACAGGGAGGGCAGCGCCTCGCGGAGGGCGTCCCCGGCGGCCTGTCTCGCCGCCTGGTAGATCGCCTCCCGCGCCCACATCACCACGTCCGCCCGCGCGCCCGCGCCGCCCTCCTCCGGAGGTCGGACAAGGGGTGTGGCACAAAGGGGCGTGGTGCCAACCGTGGAAATCGAGATACCATCTACGATCGATTTCGGTCGGGCCTGTCCCCCTGCAGGGGGATTTTGGGCGAAAGGTTTAAAACAAATCGCAAAATATTCAAAACATGTTCAGAAACGGTCAAGAAATCGTCCCCAAACTATTCTCTTACTAGTTCTGCATATTCCTCCAGCAGAGGGACAGGCCCGACTTAGCGATAGATGGCATCGCCAGACTCAACCTTGGCACCATACCCTATTACGCCACACCTCCTTCCCTCGCCATCGCTCGGACGTCCATTCCCTGTGTTTTTTTCGGTCTCGTGCGTGGTTCTTCCGCAAAATAATCCAGGATGCTCCTCGATGGTCCTTCGCCTGACGAACAAACGCACACGCCCGAGCAATGCCGAGTTCCTACCCCTGGACCTCCAGCGGCGCTGGGCCTGGCAGCGGGCGGCCCGGCAGTGGGCTCTCAGGCCGCGCCCACCGCGGAGGCCCGGCGCGCCCGCCGCGCGCCGCCGCGCCACGGCGTGGCTCCGCCGCGGGAGGGGCGCGGCGCGGGGGCGCCGGCGGCGCGGCGCCGTGCGGCGGGCGCGCCGCGGGGGCGCCGCGGGCGGTGCGGAGCTCCAGCAGGCTGTGCGTGTGGGTGCAGCAGTCCCGCCTCGTCGCCGCCCCGTCGCCGCCCCGCCGCCTCGCCGCCGCCCCTGCGCCGCCCTCCGCCGCTCGTCGCCAGGTGCGGTTTCAAACAGCGTAGATTGCTCCTCTCTCCTCTCCTCCTCCTCCTCCTCCTCCTCCTCCTCCTCCTCCTCCTCCTCCTCCTCCTCAGTCCGCCCTGCTCCTCCTCCTCCTCCTCCACCTCCTCCTCCTCCTCTCCTCCTCTCCTCTCACTCCGCCTCCTCCTCCTCCTCCTCCTCCTCCTCCTCCTCCTCCTCCTCCTCCTCCTCCTCCCCTCCTCCTCCTCCTCCTCCTCCTCCTCCTCCTCCTCGCAGCAGTCCCGCCTCGTGCAGGCCCGGAAGGAGACGGTGGCGCGGGTCCAGTCGAAGAGGGGCCCGAGCTCCTTCGGGCTGTGCGCGTCCCGGCACCGGTCCCCGTAGGGGCAGAAGCCTCGCGCGTGGTGCTCGCAGATCGAGGACTTGGCCAGCAGTCCCGCCGTGTGTCTGGCGGGCGGCAGGGGCACCTACAGATGACCAGCACACAACATAAACACACACTTGTGCAGGTCCGCGTGGATGTCTTGGTTCGGCGCTCGACATCCCCCTGCTTAGCGCGCAGAACGCCAGGGGCGGCGCCGGAGGCGCCGCCAGGGAGGACCCAGCGCGGATCCAAGAAATCCGCGCGGACCTCCGAAAGTTTACCTTCGTGCCTCCAGATCTGGACGGTGACGATTCTTTCTCCTCGTGAGCCCTGCGGTTTCAACGGCAACAGGTCCTGCAGGGGGGCAGGTTCTCAGGCCTCCATTGTTACGGATCTGTGCAACCCCTTTCGGCGGTGGACAAACCTCCCTTTTAGTAAACCTCCCCTGAGTGAAAACGGCCTGGGACCGAAACCGACGGACCTGGACCCGCAAAAATAACGGCCGCGACGCCCTCTCGCGAACCGAAAGCGGCCAATTCCTTAATCGACGTGTCAGGGTAGGAGGTCTGTCTACCCCCGACCCTTCCTGCCTGATCCCCTTACCGACAGAAGCCTACGCTCCCTAGGCCGTGTCCACCCCAAGCCGGGTAGAGAGGTAACAGAGTCGGCAACTGTTGGCTAGCGTGCTGCCACGATGGCCCCGGCGACGAGCTCTGCTCTGCGCGTGGATAGCGCGTCGCCCCGCTCCGCTGGGCGAGTGGCTCGGGAAGGCTGGGGACTTGGACGCCGAAGGCTCGATGGGCCGAAGGCGAGGCCTCTTCCGAAACGCCCCAGGTGGCGCGACCACGCCGCCACGCCTGTCAGATTACAGTCGAGGCGTTGACCTAAGGAACCCTAAATAAGGAACGAGGCCCCTATTTTCCATAAGTTGAGCTTCGATTTCGTATCGAAAACCTAAGGGAAATCCAGGGCAAGCTGCGAAACAATTAAGGAACACGGAGCCCCTCCCCAACGAAAAGGGTTCCTTCTTCAGGGCCCCGACTGTAAGCACAGGCGCCATTCGGCACTCTCCGCTTTTCGAGGGCGAACGTCCCCGGGCGGCTGGCTCGGGCGGGGGAGCATCGACTTGGACTCGGCGATGCCTCACCGACGGATCTGCGACAAGCCCCCGATTGCGCTCTGCGAGTGGATGACGTGTCGCACCGAAGCGTGGTGGGCCAGACCCTGCGGAGCAACACGCTATGCCAAACATTCCGACCTAGAGGCCGACTAGATGGGGTCGGAGGATCGCGCCGCATCGCCGATGCATCGGCGATGCATCGAGGCCACATCGGCGATGCATCGCCGATGCGTCGGCGACGTCGGCGTGGAGAAAGTCGGGCTCCACGTCGAGCCGCATCGGCAATGCGTCGGCGATGCGGCGCGATCCTCCGAACCCACCCGCTGGGACCCCATCTGGGAGGCCTAGACGATCGGAGGCGCCCAAGAGCGGGGGGGGGGGCGCCCCAGAGAGGGGGCTGGCGCCCAAGAAGAGAAGGGGGCGCCCAAGAGAAGGGGGGGCGCACATCCTGGCCCCCCGCGTGGCCATCGGAGAAGAAAAAACGCCATAGACATGAACTTTTGGCGTTCCGCGCGGGCTCCTTGGATCCGCACTGGGCCCGCCCCCCCCAGCGGCGCCTCCAGCGCCGCCCCTGGCGCGCTCCGTGAGCCAGGGACGGAGGGCCCAGCGCGGATCCAAGAAATACGCGCGGAGCGCCAACAGTTTATGTTTATGGCATTTTTCTTCTTCGATGGCCGCCCCCGAGACGACCGAAGCTCCCGTTTCTTCTTCGTCTTCTTCTTCTTCTGGGAACCTCCTCCGCAGCTGCGGGCGCCGGGCTGGCCCCGGGGATACCGAGCCGCCTGCGCGCCGGCTGCCACTGGCGCTGCTCCGGCGGTCTCTCGGGCGCTGACGCGCCGGTGTCCGGCGCGGGCGGGCCGCCGGTGCTCATGGCAGCGGCCGCGGGTGCTGCGGCCTGGGCGTCGCTTTAGGCGGGGGGGGGGGGCGACAGATGGAGGGGGAAGGAAGGTGCCCTCTTCGGGCCCTAGAGGCCTCCTTCTGGGCCCCAAAGGGCCTCTGCAGGGGCCTCCGAAGGTCCCTTTTCTGCAGCCCTCGCTGCCCCCCATGTATATCGCCCCCCCCACTTATCGCGGCCCAGGCGACTGCCGCGGCCGACGATCTGGGTTTGGCCAAAACTACTGCGGGCTCTCCTGTTGCCGCTGCTGCTGTGGCTGTCTGTGCCCGGCTGTTTTTGCTCTTCGCGCTGCTGCTATTGCTGACGCTTGTGCTCCCCTGCGCGCACCACTGTGGCCGCTTCGCTTTTGTAGTCCTCTCTTGTGTTAGATGCGGACGGTGCCAGCATCTCTGCGACCACGACTGCCAATGCTCCCATCAACGCCGCTGCCGTTGCGACTGCCGCTGCCGCCACCAACATCGCCTCGTAGCCATACCTGCTCCTGCTCCTCCTCATTCTCCTCCGGCTTGTTCCGGGTCGGGCATGTCCCCCTACAGGCGGACTTTGGACTACGACAAACAACGCCCCAAGCATGCCCCAACATATTCAAACATGGTAGAAACATCGTCCCCATATTCTTTGTATATGTCAAGGATTGTATATGTATATGTATATGTATATGTATATGTATATGTATATGTATATGTATATGCGTATATATATATATATATATATAGATGTTTATGTATGTATGCATGTATGCATGCATGCATGTATGTATGTATGTATGTATGTATGTATGCATGTACGTATGCATGCATGCATGCATGTATGTATGTATGCATGTATGCATGTACGCATGAATGTATGTATGCATGCAGGCATGCATGCATGCATGCATGTATGTATGTATGTATGTATGTATGTATGTATGTATGCATGCATGCATGCATGCATGCATGTAGGCAGGTATGCAGGTATGTATGTATGTATGTATGTATGTATGCATGCATGCATGCATGCATGCATGATGCATGTATGTATGTATGTGTGTGTGTATGTATGTATGTATGCATGTATGTATGTATGTATGTATGTATGTATGTATGTATGTATGTATGTATGTATGTATGTATGTATGTATGTATGTATGTATGTATGTATGTATGTATGTATATATGTGTATATATACACATACATACATATATATAAACAAACACACACACATACATATATATTTATATATATATATATATATATTCGACAAATACTATACTTGAATACTCCTCCTGTGGAGGGGCAGGCCCGACGTAAGGCTTGATCGAGGTTTTGGGCGCGCGCCCTTCCGCCCAGCCGCGTGGCCGCGCGCCGGGCGCGCAGCGGGGCGATCTTTCGGACCCGGCGGCGTGCAGCGAGAGAGGGAGAGAGGGGGGCGGCCGGCGGCGCCCGGGAGAGCGGGCGGGCAGGGAGGAGCAGGAGGGGCAGGAAGAGAGGAGGGGGATGCAGTAGAGGGAGGGGAGGAGGAGGAGGAGGGAGGAGGAGGAGGAGGAGGAGGAGGAGGAGGAGGGGAGGGTAGTGAGGAGGAGGAGGAGGTGGGGGAAGGAGGAGGAGGAGGAGGAGGAGGATGCAACAAAGGAGGAAGGAGAGGGGGGAGGAGGAGGTAGGAGGAGGAGGAGGAGGAGGAGGAGGAGGAGGAGGAGGAGGAGGAGGGGGAAGTGGAGGAGGAGGAGGAGGAGGAGGAGGAGGAGGAGGAGGAGGAGGAGACGAGGAGGAGGAGGAGAGGAGGAGGAGGAGGAGGAGGAGGAGGAGGAGGAGGAGGAGGAGGAGGAAGGGAGGAACAAGAGGGTGGAGGAGGAGGATGCGAGAGAAACAAAACAACGCCATAAACATAAGATTGTGGCGCTCCGCGCGGGCTTCTTGGATCTGCGCTGCACCCCCCTTCCTGGCGCGCGGAGCGCGCCAGGTGCGGCGCCGAAGGCGCCGCTGTGGGGGCCCAACGCGGAGCCAAGATATCCGCGCGGAGCGCCACCAGTTTTATGCTTATGGCGTGTTTGCTGCCTCGACGCAGGGGAGGCGGGGACGGTGGAGGAGGGGGGTGAAGATGGAGGTGGATGTGGAGGACAAGGGGCGGGGGGTGGTGCAGGAGGGAGGAGGGGAGGGGGGGGGGGGGGGCATCCCGACACGAGGGCGGCGAAGGGCGTGGACGAGCAGGTGCGGGGCAGGACTCGGAGCGCGCCCGCGCGGCCGCGGACCGCTCGGAAAAAGCCCTGCGGGAGCGGCGCCGGCTCGGGGGCACAGGCAGCGCACCTCTCTCCCGATCCCCCTGGCCCTTGGGAGGGCGCGGGCGGGGAATGTGGGCGGGGGGAGGGGGGCATCGGGGGGAGCGAGGAGGGGGGATAATGGGGGGGAGGCTGGAAAAGGGGAAGGGGAAGGGCCGGAAAGGGGGAGAGGAGGAGAGGGTGGAGGAGGGGGAGGAGATGGAACAGCAGCACAACATCGGGGCAATGCCAGGTCAATCCAAGAAAACGGTTCCACAATCAGTGCTTGCACTGAAAGGGTCCTCGTGGAAATTGAAAGATTTTGCGAAAATGTCCCGCCGATGTTGGTCGCACGCTGGGTTCCCGGGTTCCCGGTTCCGGGTTCCCGGGTTCCCGGTTCCGGGCCGATTTCGTAGGGCGGCGAAGTTCCCGGGTTCCCGGGTTCCTGGTCGATCTTCTTATCGATCGGTCTCACCATCGATCTCATTACCCACTTCTCTATCGATCTCACCATCGATCTCACAATCGACGTCACTATCGATCTCACAAGCGATCTCACTAGAGATCGCATGGGCGATCTCGCGATCGATCTCACTATCGATCTCATTGAATCGATTTCACCCCCGGTCTCACGATCGACCTTTCAATCGTCCTCACTCTCGCTTCCACTATCGATCTCATGGTCGATCTCACAATCGATCTTAAGACCCATAGTACTAATTTCAAAATCATCCACTGATTGGGCTTTCTCAGGTGTAATGTATCGTGTATCGTAGTGCCTGTACCCGTCGCTGGCGTCGGGCTTAACCGCCATGGTGGCTATGCACGCGGTGTGCAGGCACAGCCTGCTAAAGACAGCGTGCGGGCGTCGAACGAGCGTTGAGCCGGTTCACCTCCCGGGCGGCCCGCCGCCAGAGAACTCGAGCGCAAACTCCAGCAGAGGTCTTGCTTGGTAGCTGCGAGTTCCTGTCTTCACCTCTGCTTGACATCCCCCCTGCCTGCGCAGCATGCCTATTCAGAAGATTCCCGTGCACTCGTCAGCGAGCTAACCTGGAGTCCGAGGGAGCGCCAGTACTCGGTGGTCGAAGAGTCCAGGCGCCGGAAGGGGAGGGTGGCAGGCAGCGTCTCGCCGCGCACGAACTGAATCGGGGGTGAGGCTGCTGGGCAGGGCCTCACTTGGCGGAGTCACTGCAAGGCGTCCAGCCACATCGATACCTCGTCCTCCAGCCATCCCGGCGGCGCGGGGCCCGTGTGCCTTTTTATCACTACTTCGTTCAGGAAGGCTCGAGTGACGACTCCGCGTGGCTCCAAGAAGAGGGGCGGCGACGATGATCCTGGCCACGCTCTCGTCGCGGGCCTTCTCCACCCGGATGGCCTGGACCTGCTGACGGTGGACACGATTCCTTCCATCGGAGGCTGCACTTTGTCCATGTGCGCGTTGACCTCGGCCTTCGCCTTCCCCCCCGCACGTCGCTCTCCAGGAGCCCCTTCAGCAGGGCCCTCGCCATGCCCGCCGCCGGGGGTCCGACCTTCTTGGGCGCATCGCCTCCCTGCTCGCGGGCCTCGGTGACCACCGCTTGAAACGTCTCGACCTGGGCCTGCAGGCTCTCCACGGTGGGGTGCAGAGGAGATGGAGGAGGAGGGGGAGGAGGAGGAGGAGGAGGAGGAGGAGGAGGAGGAGGAGGAGGAGGAGGAGGAGGAGGAGGAGGAGGGGAGGAGGAGGAGGAGGAGGGGGTGGAGGAGGAGGAGGAGGAGGAGGAGGAGGAGGAGGAGGAGGAGGAGGAGGAGGAGGAGCACGAGAGAGGCAGGAGGAAATATGATAGCGTCTGGAATGTGCGCCTGTACACACATACATGTGTGATCCCGGGCTCTGGGCCCACGGGCCCCCCCCCCCAGATGGGATGGGTCCCAGGGTCCCTCGGGCCCCCCCCCTCCCTGATGGGATGGGGGGGGGACGACGGCGACGACGACGACGATCACGACGACGACGACGGCGACGACGACGATCACGACGACGACGACGACGACGGCGACGACGACGGCGACGACGACGACGGCGACAGCGACGACGACGACGACGGCGACGACGACGAAAGCGACGACGACGGCGACGACGACGACGACGGCGACGACGACGACGACGGCGGCGGAGGCGGCGCAGACCTCTGGAGCCCTCCGACGACGACGACGGCGGCGGCGACGACGACCTCCGGAGCTCTCCAAGAGCACCACAGTACCACGCCACGCACGCTACGCCCACAGCACCACACCACACCCACAGGGGGGGAGGCCCATGGCGCGGGGTGGGGGGATGGGGGGCCAATGGCATCAGCATGAGGGGGGGGGGGAGCAGACCCTGGACCATACATATGTATATATATACACATATACATACATGATTTTTGCACATGGGTGATGACAATTTGTACAGGGCCACTCATCGGGCTATGCGAAAAATTTGAATTTCGGTCTGCGATTGGCCGGATCGGGATCGCGATTTATGTCTCTAGCGGCCTCGCCATCTACCAATCGATGTCCCTACCTATGTGTCCACCAACCCCGCTACCCTCATGCCGATCGACCCGTCTTCCGGCATAACCGCATGCCGTTCGATCTAACTGTTTATCGGCCTCGCTCTTTCTCAGTCGATCCAAACACGATTGAGTCTATGTGTCGATCACGCTTTCATTTCTGCCTGCCTACGAACGAGTTGCCTCCCTCGTGCATCCTGGCACCTCCTCCTGCTCCGCGTGGCAGCCACGAGGCAGCCACACAACACGGGGCAGCCACGGGACAACCACGGCGACAGCTGCGGAACAGCCCCGGCAGGACCACGAAACAACCACGACGCGACCACAGGGCGGCCACGGGGCAGACCGCGGGCCAGCCGCAGCGTGCTCGCACAACAGCCTCAGAACAAGAAGGACCCCCTCAGGACAGCCATCTTGACACGCGGCGGGGCAACCACAGCGTGACCACATCGGGAGCACAAGACAGCTGCGGGACAAACGCGGGGCAAGGAGGGGACAACGGTGGGAACAGCACATGCTGACACTCTGCTCGAACAGGGCCTTGATCTCTCCTCGCGAAACTTCGCCTCGCTCGCACGCGCGTCACGCAGTACACAAACCGAAACCGCCTTCCCGGTTGAGGGACTCGGTTTCAATTCGATCTCCCCCCGAATCTTCACTCTCTCTCTCTCTCTCTCCCTCTATGTATCCATTCCCCTATACACAATGCCATACACCTGCAGGGCCACCCTTTGGGTGATAAAGAGGTTGGGCCGCAGGGGTCGGGTAGAGCTTTCGGTGTGCGTTTGGAGCCGGATCGGATGCACAACCTACTATCTAACTATCTCGCTATCTATATGTCGATCTCACTGTCTATCGATTGGACTCACTACCTATCGATGTTGTGAGATGCAGGCGCCACTCTCAATGCATCTACCGGCCGGAGCTATTGTTCGGTCTCGCTATCTATGTGTATCGATCTCCCTGCTAACTCGTATTTCGATCTCGCTATCAAGACATGGGTCTTATTCCCCATATCCTAGGATGGGGGTTCCTGTTATTACTGTTTCCAACTCACCTTCTCTTACTCCTTCCTCATTCGCTCAGGCTCAGTCACACTCAGACTCATTTCCTCTTACATTCACTCACGCTTGCTGCCCATCTCCTAGAATGGTATCCTTGTTTCCCATATCCTATGTTGGGGTTCTTGTTATTACTCAGACGCCTCCGACTCTCCCTTGTCGTCATCGTCCCTCCGCCTCCTCAGGCTCACTCATACGCAGACTCACTCATCACACTCAGCCAGGCCCACTCATGAGCACAATCGCACATAATCGTACCCACTCATGCACACCACCTCTCTCACTTAGAGCCACTCGTACTAAGCCAAGTCATTGTGACACTCATGCACACATCACTCATGCAGTCAGAGCCCAGTGCTCTTCGCGATGTAGCCTGCGTGGCACTCGAGCACCCCAGGGAGGGGCCGCCAGGGAATGGGGCATTTGCCGCTTCGAACCCAGATGATTCTGTGGATGTATCAGGCGGTCTGCCCGTTTGGTTGCCCAGACACTTCTTTTTCGGAGTTCCATGCTCACCGCGATGTAGCAAGCGTGGCGCTTGAGCACCCCAAGGAAGGGCCCGCAGGGGGTGGGACATTTGCCCTTTCGGGCCGAGATTCCGAGGATGTCTCGTGCGATTTGCTGTTTGGTCGCCCAGGCTCTCCTCCTCCTCCTCCTCCTCCTTCTGTTTCCAACATCTCATGCACATCGAGGCGTAGCAGGCGTGGCGTTTGAGCACCCCGAGGAGGGGCCGCCGGGGAGTGGGACATTTTTGCTCGTTTGCGGCCAGACTGCTGGGACATCTCAAGCGGTTTGCTTGTTGGGTTGCCCAGACTCCTTTTTTCAGAGCACCGGGCGGAGCGGAGGAGGAGAAGGAGGAGAAAGAGGAGGAGGAGGAAGAGGAGGACGAGGAGGAGAAGGAGAAGGACGATGATGAGGAGTGGGTGAGGAGGACGCGAGGAAGGATGAGAGTAAGAGAGGGAGGACAGATGAGAAGGATTGGCACCGGGAGTCTCGAACATGATCTGGCCTCTGTGGGGTCCTTCGCCTTCTCCTCCTCTTACTCCTCCTCCCTCTAACCCTTCTCCTCCCACCTCCTCTTACCCCTCCTGCTCCTCTCCTCTCTCCTCCCTCCTCGGCCTCCTCTCTCCCCCTCCTCCGCCGCCCCGCTCTCCTCCCAGCTGCCTCCCCCCTCCACCTCCTTCTCCTCCTCTTCTCCTTCCGCCTTCCTCTACAGTCGGGCTTGATTGGAGAGGACACGCGAGAGGACACAAGACCCTTTCGAGGGCCACATCGGCACAGGAATGGACGAAGCATGGGTCGCGAGACACAGGACATAAGGGTACCCTTGATCTGGCAGGGTCGACCTACTAATCCAGGCCGCCTGTACCTCCTCCGCCTTCTTCCGCCTCCTCCGCGGTTGTCCTCTCCCGGAGAGATGAACGGGGTAGGGTCGGGTAAAAGAGGGTGCGGAAGGAGTGCCCAGGAGGCTGCAGACCCTGGAGGATTCCTTCTCTAGTGAGGGCAGCGGTGACTATCCATGGCCGATCCACGATGGAAGCTCCACTGGCTTCCGGACCCTGGATTCCTCATCGAAGGCTCTCTTATCCACTGCCATTGCTGTACCCTGGCTAGAGCAACTCTTAGAGGTCCGCGCGGATCTCTCTCGGATCCGCGCCAGGCCTTCTCCCCCTCCTTATCCAATGCCATCACACTATGTGTGTCTCCACATTCGTGGCCCGAAAGAGACCAAACGGCATGAGCAGAAACTTTCGGAGGCCCGTGCGGATGCCCTGAGCCGGCGCCGGACCCCTTTTCGGGCGGAGCCTCCCCGGGACCCGCCCTCGAAGAGCTCCGCACGCAGAGGAGGGGGAGAGCGGATCCGAGAGAGATCCGCGCGGACCTCTAAGAGCTGCTCTGGCCAGGGTGCAGTGATGGCATTGGATAAGGGAGCCTTCGATGAGGAATCCAGGGTCCGGAAGCCAGTGGAGCTTCCATCGTGGATCGGCCATGGATAATCACCGCTGCCCTCACTAGATGAGGAATCCCCCAGGGTCTGCAGCCTCCTGGGCACATTCCTTAACCAACGCCCCCACCGTAGCTGGACTCGTGAGCGCAACATGCGAGGGCGGCGCGCTGGACGCACGTGCGGAGGGCCCGCGTTTCTGATCGCACGGGCGAGGGCCGAGAGGGTGGGAGAGACGCGTGCGGCCACGTTGATCGTGCAGCTCTCCCCTAGGCTGGCCGCGTCGTGAGTATCCAGCTGCCTGGCATGAGAAGGGAGGGACGGAGTATGGGGAAGGGAGGGGGGGGGGAGAGGTGAGAAAGAGAGAGGGGAGGGGAGGGGAACAGCCGGACGTTTGGAACGAGCCAGGGGCTTCGGGAGGGGCAGCGGAGAGGGCCGCGGCATGTGAGGGTGAGACAGGCGGGCAGGGGTTCTTGTGCCCCCCTCGCACGTAGAAGCCGACAGCTCCATCCCGCCGCCCTCCCTCTCCCTCCCCGCCCTTGTTCTCACTTCTTCCCCCCCTCCCTCTCTCCTATTTCCTTCCCCTTCCCCTCCTCTTGCACCTCCTCTTCGTAACCTCCTCCTCCTCCCCCTCACTCCTCCTCCTCCTCCTCCCTTCCCTCCCTCCCTCCCTCCCTCCCCCCCCCTCCCTCCCTCCCTCCCTCCCTCCTCCCTCCCTCCCCCCCCCCCCCCCCCCTCCCTCTCCCTCTCCCTCCTCTCCCTCCTCTCCCTCCCTCCCTCCCTCCTCCCCGCTCCCTCCCTCCCTCCCTCCCCCTCCCTCCCTCCATCCCCCCATCCCCTGAGGCTCCGCGACAGGGGTGCAGGACGAACCATAAAACAAAGCCACCCCAGAGGGCTAAGAGAGGCAGCGCCCTCTGGGCCAGCGCGTGCCCAGCGCGGTCCGTCCCCGTTTGGGGTGGTGCGCGCTCTTCGGCGAATATTCGCCCTAAAAGCAATGCCCAGGCCGTCGGCGGCGCGAGGAGGGAGGAGGGAGGCTAGGAGGAGGAGGAGGAGGAGCAGGA